GGAGACAAGGAGAGACCCAGAGGTGGAACAGCCAGCGTCCTGGGGGTCGACAGGTGAGGGAACGCCAGAAGTGAGAAATGGCTGGAGCCAGGCTGGGAGGGACTTTGGCCAAACTGCGGGCTTTCTATGCTATCCGATAGGGAGCCACGGAAAATGTTTGAGCTGAGGAGGGAAGAGTCAGACTTCTGCCTTAGGAAGAGGAATCAGGCAGCTTGGTGTGGGATGCGTTAGGCAGGGGACGGATGGCAGACTGCTGTCTAATGAGGAGGCTTCCTCTGCGGTCCAGGTGGGAGGGAGGAGGGCCTGACCTGGATCAGGGGAAGAGGAGAGACAGGAGATGGATGTGAGAGGTGGCGTGCGGGGCGGTAAAGAGACTTAGCTGTTGGGGGTGAGGAGGAAGAGGGGAGAGTCAAGGTCACTGACCAAGGGCTCCCAGGGGAAGGGGAGGAGGGCCACATCCCAGCTCAGCCCTTGGCTGGGGGACAGGCGTTTGGGCAGCCGGGATGAGGTCAGGCTTTTGGCACGGTCCCCAGCACCTGGGAGCCTGCCCCTTCCCTCCCTCCCTCCCTCCCTCCTGCTCCCTCCCACCTGAGTGTCCCACGCACACACAGCGGGCTCAGCCCCAGAGGGAAGGTGAGGGCGAGGCGTGAGGCAGGACGGCCGGACCTCTCCAATGGAGCGCGCAGCCTTGTTCCTCCAGGCCCATCAGGAACCAGTCAGCACAGACCCCAGCCGCCGCGGGGTGGGCCCGGCCCAGCGCCCTGCTTGGTGACTTCTCATGGGCTGGGGCTGGGGGGAAGTCCGGCCGATCGCCCCCCCCCCCCCCCCCCCCCCCCGCCGCCCGCGCCCCCCCCCCCCCGGCGCCCGCCCCCCCCCCCCCCCCCCCGGGGCGGCCCCCCGGGGGGGGGGGGGGGGGGGGGGCGGGCCCGCCCCCCCCCCCCCCCCCCACGGCCGGGTGCTGACCGTGCACCCCCCGCAAGGAAGACTTTCCGCCTCCCCGGGCCAGCCGGGGTCATGGCGGAAGACAAGACTTTCCGCTATGGGTTCATCATGTTGGGCTTGTTCCTGCTGGCCGTGGGCATGTTCCTCATGACGGTGGACCGGCCACAGGTGTACGTCACCTTCTGCGTCATCGGCGGGGTCGCTCTGATCGCGGGGGTCGTCTGGAGCATGTGCCAATGCTACCCCAAGGTAGGCAGGAGACGGCGGCGTCCTGCCCCAGGGCTGTGGGGACACGTCTGTGAGGACCGCGTTCAGCGTTTGCCTAGACGGTCGAGGTCACTGTCCATGCACGTGTCTATGCCGTGGATGCCTGCCTCCCCAGGGGGCCTCTGGACGTGCGTCTGTGTCCTTCTGCTCCTTTTTAGGGGGTAACTATGGATGGATGCGTGTGGGCTGGATTAGGAAGGGCACGGATGACAAGCTGGGTGTCTAAGGAGGAGGCTTTGCCCTTGTATATGCACGCAGTCAGTCAGCATTGTTATGTCCCTACTATGTGCCAGGCTCTGTATTAAGAACCGGGGAAAGCAGGATCAAAGAAAAGGCAAAGTCAGGCCTTTGCTCAGCGAGGGGCTCCATTCATCTGCACTAATCAAACAGTGGCAAGTCTCTTCTCTCTGAGCCTCAGTTTCCTCATTTGTAAAATGGGGGTGGGAGGGCCTCTTTTCCTGGGGTCCAAAGACCCAAGTGTTCATGGAGAGATGACAGGAGGTCTGTGTACTTTGGGGGGGAAAGTTACATCTTTGTTATATTAACTAACCTGTAACAAATTTAATGTGTCCTTCACTTAGGAAGGTGGGTCATGGCCATGACTCTGAGAAGGGGTCCATCCCTAAGGCTTCACCACAAGGAGTCCGAGATGCAAAAAAAAGATTAGGGACCCCTGGACTAAGTGCTGGGTCCCTTCCAGGCTGACATCCTATGTTCTCAGATCCTTCTCAGTTCTAACATTCTATGTTCTAAGGCCCCTCTCAGCCCTGACATCCCCTGTCCTCAGGCCCCTCCCAGCCCTGACATCCCCTGTCCTAAGGCCCCTCTTGCTCTAAGCTCCCTTCCAGCTCTGACATTCTTTGTGCTGTGTTCTAGAACTCTTGACTCTTTACACTAAGGCCCTTCCTTCACTGGCTGATTGATTCCGTCATTCTCTCTAGCCTGGTGCTTGCTGTACTGTGCCCTCCAGACCCTCAGACCCCAGTCGGGAACCCATAGAAGTGGACAGAAAGTCCCTCTGGAGTCTTAGGCAGAAGAGAGCCCTCTGCTCACCAGCCCTCGCCCCTCCCCTCCCATGCCCATGGCCCCACCAGGGAACCTGGAAAGCAAGTGTGGAGGGTCAGTCCTGGCCGGTTTAGAGTCACTTGCCTGGTTATTTACAGTCAACTCACCCCTGTCACCGGAAGCCGAGACCAGGGGTCACACACAGGGAGGAAAGGAGATCCTTGCAGAAGTCACAGCCTCCTCAGCCTGGGCAGCTGAGGGCACTCCCGGGTCCCCGTGTTCCGCCTTGCTGTCCTGTGAGCCTGGGGAGGGGAACTTCAGGGAACGGGCAAGGGAGGTCTGTCAGTCAATCAATAAGTATTTATTAAGCCCCTACTATGGGCCAAGCCCTGTGCTAAGCACCTTATAAATATTATCTGACTTGATCTTATAACAACCCCCTCGAGATAAATGCTGATATTATCCCTAGATTTACAGTTGAGGAAACTGAGGCAAACAATGGTTAAGTGACTTGCCCGTGGTCACATGGTGCCTGAGGCTGGATTTGAACTCAAGTCTTCCTGATTTCAGGCCCAGCACTATGATCAGCGGAGAGAATTGGGAGCCTCAAGCAGATTCCTGACTCTTAGGCAAGAGGCACCTGTAAGGTTCAGAGCCAGTTCTCTAAAAAGAGTTTCTCACACTTCTGAGGGCCTTCATCAGCCTCAGATGCTCACTATCTGGGTGACCCTCGGCAAGTCACTTAACCCAGCTTGCCTCAGTTTCCTGATCTGTAAAATGAACTGGAGAAGGAAATGGCAAACCCCTCCAGTATCTTTGCTAAGTAAACCCCAAATGGGGTCACAAATGATGAAATATGTATATATATATATATATGTATATATACACACACACACAATTATATTTACAATTCTTTATAAATGCAATTATATATACACATTATATATGTACATATAAAAATACACAGATACATATGTGCATGGACTGAAGGACAAAGATGACCAGAGTGGAGGGAGATCAGGGAAAAGAGGCATCCCTGGGGCTGGGGGTCATTTGGGAGGGCTCTAGGGAGGAAATGAGGCTAGGCCTGAAGGAAAGGCTCAGGGGAGGGAAGGGCCTCCACAGCGGCCCCAGCTTAGGGCTCACCTCACTCTGCCCAGTGAACATGGGGGCGCTTTCCTCTCCATGGAGTGCCCTGAAGCAAGAACTCTGAGCCCTTACCCCTGGAGAGCCAGGGAAGGGGCTGGCCTGAGATATATTGAGCAGAGGGTCTGGGAGAGTGTGTTTCTGGTAGGTGGAATGTGAGGGGCAAAAATTCATCCCCCAGGCAGTGCCAAGACAGCGGAGTAAAAGCAGGGACTTGCTTGAGTTCTCCCCCAAACCCCTCCAAATACCTGTAAAAATGGCTCTAAAAAAAATTCATCCCCCAAAACAAACACTTGTTGACTGATGGATTCCAAGACATCTCTTGCCACCCACCCCGGTTCCCTCCTCTAGGCCCCACATTTTAGGAGGAGCACAGTTGAATGGGAAGGCATAAATGGCCATGGCACCCCACCATGTAGGGAGTAATTGAAGGAATCAGGGATTTCAGGGCAGAGGAGCAAAGCCTTGGGTGACATACCCTGGAAGCAGTCTGTCCAAGGTAGACCCACCACAATTCTCTAGTTCACTGGACCTAGACATGGGAGGGATCACAAGACTGTCGAGCCCAGCCCCCTCCCCTTCCAGATGAGGCACTCCCTCCTTTTACAGCTGTACTTAGATTGTAAACAATATTCTCTCACTAAGAAATAAAAGTTTAAAGACTGATACCCCAAACGATTTGACCACAGCTTGGTAGCTCAATGCTCTAAGATGGGCCCTGGGCCTTTAGCTGGGAGATCTGGCCTTCAACCTTGTGTTTGCCACCTACCAGCAACCTCTCTGAGCTTCAACGTCTTCAACTATAGACCTGACCTAATATTTCCTCTTCATATATACCTCACAGAGTGGTTTGAGGCATCAAAAGAGATCCCAGTCACCACCTGGTCCAGCCCACACCTGGAGCAGAATCCATCCCCTCTAGAACATCCCCAACAAATCCTCATCCAGGCTTTGCTTTATTCACTCATACCACCCATGATGGGGAACTCACTACCTCCCCAGGCAACCCATTCTATTTTTGACAGCTTTGAGGGTCAGGGGATTCTTCTGGCTATCTACCCCAAACCTGCTTTTCTGTCACTTTCCCCTAATTGCTTCCCGTTCTGCCTCTGGGGCCAAATGGAACAAGTCTAAACACTGGTCCACAGGACAAGAGCAGCTATGGCGGTCCCTCAGTCTTCTCTCCTCCAGCTCCTCCATCCAGTCCTCATGGGACATGCACTCAACGCCCTTCCCCATCCTGGCCACCCTTCCCTGGACACTCTCTGGCTGATGCATCTCCTTCCTAAACTTAGGGCCAGACCTGAACATGCTGCCCAGGGATGGCCTGGCCAAGGCAGAGAATAGAGGGATGGGCATTTCTCTACTCTTGGGCACTCCCAGTTCAGCTGAGGTCCCGGGAGCTTCCTGATTGGTCTGATCATAATGGGACTCAGATTGAGTTTGCAGTCCACTAAGACCCCCTGAACTTTTTCAGAATAGCTGTTGTCCAACCCAAACCTCCTCCTCCTGCATCATGAACTTGTGAAGTTGACTTTTTGAGCTCACGTGGAAGATTTTACATTTTTCCCTGCTAGGTTTCATCGTATTAGTCAAAATTCAGTGGTCTAGCCTCGCATGACTGATTTTGGACCCTGCGCTCCATCATGTCAGTCGGCACAAGTAAACGTTACAGAAATGAAAGGGATTGTTGTCTCTCTGAGTTAATGAGGAAGTTGAGGCCAGTTAACTTGAAATGCAACATGATCTTGGAGAAAGAGCATTGAACCTGGAGTCTGCAAATGCCCAGATTCCAATCCTGAGTCACTGGCTGTTGACCCCGGACAAGCGGCCTAACATTTCCGAGCCTCAGTTTACTCAGTTGCAAGAGAGAGATCTTGGCACCTCCCTCACAGGGTTGCTGTGAATCTCAGAGGAGATTAAGTATGTCAACCACCTTGTAAACCTTAAAGCACCCCAGAAACGCCAGCCAATTGTGATGGCCCAAGGTCACGCCCAGGCAACAAGTGCTGAGGTCTACCTGCCTGCGCTGGCCTTTCCCTCTGAGGTCCTAGGGCTGAGCCTAGGGCCTGGAACACAGGAACTGCCCCTATGGTCGGGTCATTGAGCTGGTCCCCTTCTCTGAGCGGGTGCTGAGGCTGTAAAGACAAGAAAGCCCCTCCTCCCCTCAAGGCTCTGACATTCCACCGGGTTGGAAAGAACAGATAAGTCAATGCAAAGGAACAAGGTGGTGTGTATAGATCAGGGAAGGTTTTGTGGAGGGGGTGGCACTTGGGCTGATATTTGAAGCAAACTATAAGGAGGGAATGTGGGGATGGGGGGGAGTGTGGGGAGGACAGGAGGAGA